AGTGAATAGTAAAGCAATACTAAATATCACTTCATCAACCTTTCTAACCTTTATGCAAGTATTAACAGTAAATAATTTTTACACAATCCAACAACAGAAAATCTGCATATATCTTAGCTTTGTAGAGAGTCTACCCTAAGTGAATTTCCTGTGACCTACACCAGCAAAACACAATCGGGCATAATTATTCAAGATCCAGAGATATTCAGGTGTTGCTTTTTTTTCCAGAGTGTACAACTTCAAGCACAAAAGGCTACTTGTTCTACATAATAAACCCTCAAAGGGTTAAATGAAATGCCAGTTTCCTTTTCTCAAGCATATCCCAGTAGCTACAGAACTCTAAATTGAGAATAGAGTGCATGTACATAAATATTACATTTTTAAATAAATACAAAATGCTAAATCTAAAAAGATAAAAAGCATTTTAACACCCAAAATGATTAGATCAGGCCCTCAAGTTGGAAAAGAATACTATGCATAAAATGTGTGCGTAAGGCTATAGCTACTACTGCTGCTATGTTGGAGTCTGTATGTATTAAATCAGATTTGTTGTGCTTAATATTTTTAAAGGCTGACAATTATTCTCTATTAATATTGATTTATTTCCTATGTTTGTTAAAACACTGTGGATATGAAGTAACTGTTCATTCTCCATAGCTGTATCATTGTCCAGAACCTCAGCTGGAATAAGAAGTTTAGTTTCTCTGCTTCAGCACACAAAATTGATAATTTGGTTCCTTAATTCAAATTAGATGCTTTACAGTTGTTTCTGCATACCACGTAGCTGTAGCTATGCAACAGATTGAGATCGTTTGACTATAGTTGCAATAACTATAAAGTTCTTTAAAGTTCAGCTTAGTGGGTGCATAATCAAGAGAAAGTCCTAAACAAAGGGAACAATATTAAGTTTTAGTGGGGAATAAGGTAAGAGCATAACTCGGCTTCCTTTTTCAAGGTCTCTCAAGGGAATCATTCCCTACCCACTGCGACAAACAGAAGCGATATGTAAACCAACATCTTGGTCTTTGACAAGGTGCTTTGCATTATATCCAAAAGTATAAACAACTCTTACAAAGAATGCACTCCCACAACTAAGGATAGCTCTTATTCTAGTAAGTAAGCGGTATATAGTATGCCTTTCTGCAAAGCAGAACAGGACTGGCTATGTTTCATGCTAGACTAAATGAGCAGTTGTTCAACAGCAGGTCAAATATATAAAGATGACTAAGTTACTTTAACTCAGTTCCATCCAATATGAAGTTTGCTCACAATGCTTTCTTACTTCAAAATCTGATTTGTACTTCCTTCCTTGGCCTGAATCTTTGCTCCTGCCAGAGCTCCAAACAGGGAAGAAGAAGAAAAGGGAAAGTGTTGATTTCGGAAACTAGATTTCCAGAATGAAAATAAATGATTAAGATCTAAGCAGACTAAGGATGGCTTACGCCTATCTCTGATGAGGTCTGCTACCTCATTACCAACAACTGAAAACTTCTGCTGCATTTTGTTTCAAGAGAATCCAAAAGTCCTTGCTGTAAAGCAGACTGGGGGGTGCAGAGTCCATTCAGTCTTTCTGTATCACAACCATTATGTAAGAAGTATAAAACACTGCCTTTATGCTGCCAAGCCACAATGACTCCTCTTACATCAAAGCAGTTTCACCACTTGGGTTTTTTTCTTCCAAATTTATTCAAGCCAAGGGCAGGGAGACAACAATTCATACACGCTAATTACACCTAATTATCTATTCCTCTCCCCACCCCAACTTTCGGCCAGTGTTATTTGCTATTTGGGTTTCTCACAACCTCCTCTTGCCCTGTCCATCCAGCTCAACAGTAAGTCTTTGAAGAAAACAGTTGTGGCTTTTTAGAATATTCACAATGTAAGGTTCAACCCAAATTAAACTATTCCCATTATTAGTTTTGACACGTTTAATGTGTTAAATATGAAGGCCTTTTGCTTAATTTGGCAAATTCCTCATATCACTGCAAGGAGAGAATTGCCAGTAACACCCTCTCCTACAGGAGCTTCTCCTCACACTTTCTTTTCATGATCTAAATGAAATGTTTATTGATTAAAGTTCTTCTCTGCAGACCTCCATGGTAGCCTGTGACAAAGCACTTACAAGCCTTATTAATTGGCTCGGACCTTTGGGGCGAGGGGGGGGAGGAAGATAAGGAAGACCTTATTTTGCATTACATCACAAGCAAAGGAAACATTAAACAAATCAATTGCATTACAAGCAATGCAATATTGCATATCTAACTCAGAATTTGAGCCAGCTGTTGGAACCAAAGCGTTCATTTGCTTAAACAGAGAACAACTATTATTAAGATCAAAATGGAATAGAATGCAAGAGTTTGCTATCATTATTTTACCTTCAGATGACAAATATATATAATATCTATTTAAATGAAGGATTGTCAAGCAGTCATCTTACTGTACTTAAAATGCAATATATTTAACAAAATATATTTTAAAACCTTACCTAATTTTTAAACATTTATTAATTTGGATTGTGAGATACAAAACTTATCAATATATTCAATGTGGTATGGATTTGCATACCTACCAAAAGACAGTTTTCGGATGATCAAACTGAATTTTTGAGTATATAGAGTTCTAATTTTGTGCATTAAAGTGTAACTACTTTTGAACTCAAACTCTGATATGCAATCACATTTAAAAAGCCAAAAAAATACAATGTGAACATTTGAGCCAAAGTCTGTTCTAGTCTTATATTTACTGAGTGTATGCTTGCACGTGTATACCCCCCCCTCGTTTTCTCTCACTCTCACTCTTGTTTTCTAATGCTAAACACAATGATTCACAACTGAACTGTATTGTAAATTCCAAAAGTAATCCATTTAATTAACACAGGAAAAAAAGAGAAAAGCAGAGCCTACAACTTCCATAGGTTGGGAAAGAAAGAGTCTTCTATTTAAGACTTGCTTGGGTACTTACTAAGAAGGGAAACAAAAGGCCTAACGTCTTCAGTAATGAAAAAGTCAATTGATAAGTGAAGACATCACAATATCAAAGACTTAATCCCAGCAATTCTGACTCAGGTGACAGCTCAGCAGAGGTCAGGGTGCTGACACTGACCACAAAAGCAAGTTTTAACCATTCAGCATACTGAAAGCTACTGGACTATCACAGCATTAGAATGGAACTAACTGACAAATCAATTTAATCACCAAGATGACTTTTTTATTTTAAAAAGAAATTGTCAATTCACAGATCTGTGTGCTTCTAACACAGGTGGCTTGACAAAGGCAGAACACATAATCAAAGACATTTTATATCTCCTAACCAGTGCCAGAATCCCACCCCCTGTCCCAAGATCGCTCTGAATCTGCTGGTAGTAGTTTCCTGACCTAATAGTAGTATAAAGTTGAATCTTCTTCCAAACATTAATAGTGGCTTTTTGACAAAAAATAAATATGATTATTTAGTGGGGTGAAAGCTGATGGAAGAATAGGAAATAATCAAACAGTCCAATTTTATACATGTTTACTCAGAAGCAAGTACCACTGAGTTCAAATAAAAGGACTTATTCCCAAGGCAATGTACATACAGTTTTATCACTGCATAAATGCTAATGGCTGTTCTATAAGAGAATCAATACTAAACACAGTTTTTTGCACAAAATCAGGTTTATTGTGTTGATTTCTAAGGATCAGGAGCTGGCTACTTGGAATCCCACTCATAGAAGAAGGAAACCTAAGTAAAATAACCCAGACTCAACTCAGACTTAAATGGTCATGCATTGCACCTTTAGTATCTAAGCAGGCTTTGTGGATTTATCACTTCCACAGTGAATGTTTTTACTTCTACCTATAGAAGGCTCTCCACACTATTTTTTAAAAATTCACTTCTTTCATGTCATACTGATTTTACATTGGCATTTTTTGGCAATGTAGAAGACTTTTAAAAGACAGTTTAAAGGGAGAGATGCAGGCTGCAGTCTTATTTTCACTTACCTGAGAGTAAGTCCTATTAATATCAAGGGGACTTTCTCTGAAATATGTGTATTTAGACGATTATAGACTAATAAAATGAAAAAGAACCCTTCCCTATACAATTAAAATGTTGATCAAAGTAATGAAATTCTAGGTTGCCAAAAAAGGATTTAAGCAATCAGAAAACGGCTGCAAGAACCAAGTGCAGTTGCAGTGCAATCTCCAGGAGTCCAAATTTAGTTTGTATTGGACTTCCATACAAAAATTAGGAAGTAGTTCATAAAAGTTGGTAACCCACAGCCAAACCATGCATCAATGAGCCCTTCTTCATGTAAGATTAAGATATAAATCCAAATGCTAATACATTTTCCCTTTCTCTTTGTACCTAAAAGCTGGGAAACCTGAATTTGTGAAACCCATGACACAATAGCAATTTCATTTTAAAAAAAATATTGATTTTGGTATCTGGCTTGGGTGATTACTATAATGTATTGATCTGAAATGTTTTTACTGCTATTATGACTGTGATTATAATGTTTATATTTTATATGCTTTTAAATTATTTTAAAGGTTGTAAGCCACCATTGGAAATATTGTATTCTGAAAGGTAGTGAAGAATTTTAAAAAGATAACAAATAAATAATCATAGGAAAAATGAACCTTGTAGTCATTTGTATTTTTGAAAAGAGTAGAATAGTAACAGGTAATAATGGATAGTGCTCTCCTAGACCTGGTTTGGGATTTTTTCTATCTTCATGAATACTACATGTGAAAAAAGCTGAAAAGTGAAAATTTCCTTCTGTTCTGATAATGTTTCCTTTTATGTTGTTGCTCTGAACTCTGTCATTCAGTTTGGAGAAAAAGTAGAGCCTCAAGATTCAAAAATATTACAAATGAAATCTTAATTTCTGCCTCCCCTAATTGAGTTAATCCCAGAAGGTTAAAGAAAATTACTCCCAGAAATATGAACAAAACAGTTTTGCAATAAAGATGCTTATCAGTAAGCTAGCAAGATCCCTTATCAAGCACATCTTCCTTTACCTTAAGAACAGCAATGAATGGCACGAAGTTCACTCTTTGGAGCCCATTTTTATAGAGATCTGAAAGAGAACACATGGATATTATCCTCACCACCTACTTCTGACAGGATTGTCTTTTGGTCTTACTTACAAATACAAGTTCTACATTAGGGAGAAGGAACATTTGGTCTTCCGAGCATTGTGGACTAAATTCCCATCAGCTATGTTGGCTGTGCCAATGGGAATTAGAGTTGAACAATATGGTTGAGTTCAATGCAGCTAGGATTGTCATACGCCCGGATTTTCCCAGGCATATCCAGAATGTTGAAGTCGGCAGCAGTGTCCAGGCAGAAACTGGGCAGTGTCCAGGGAAATCCAGCATCTTTTTAGGCCCAAAAACATTTCCCCACTGTTTGAAATATGGGAACCCTAACACAGGCTCTCTATCTCTGTTCTACCAAATCAAGAAATAAGGAAGGAAAAAAGAAAATAATTTAAATTTAAATCTTTGGCTGCAATGTTTTTTTAAAACTAAACTGTATTTAAAAGTAATTAATATATTCTTCTTACTTAATTAAATTAACCACATAGTTTAAATGTATCTCATTGCTTTGGAGAGGTTAACTTTATAAAGCATAAACAGTAAAGCTACACAATACAGTGATTAACATTTCAGTATCTGCTTTTTAAAATATACTTAAACTCTAATGTATAAGAGACAAAAAACATCATTTAAAAAATAAATTAAAGAGTTAAAAAGTACGTGATTATATAATTTATTCGATACTTACCAAAGGAGTGGAGGGAAGTCCAAGGCTCAGTTGAGATTAACTTAGTTATGTATTTTATTTATGATTTGTGAAGTGGATATAATTTGTTTAAGGTATGTGGTGAATTTTTTGTTTATGTTTTTTCTGTATATATGTGCAAATATGAATAAAAATTTATTAAAAAATATATAAAAAAATTTGACTGCATTACACTCTAAATAAGAAAAATGGGAGGAAATAGAAAATCCCCAGAAAATTTGATTTGAATCTATGATAAAACATGTGAAAACATGTATGTACGCATGCATGCATGTATGAGTTTTGTGCAATTTATCATACCCTTCCCCCACCCCACCCCGAAAAAGGCAAAACACACGAAAGGGCTAACAGTAGCCTGTGCACATGCTCATAACTCCGACATTTACTGCTCAGTGGAACAAGGGAATGGAAGGAGTGTGATTACAGGCACAGAATTTTTCTCAATCTGAACACATCCTGTCACTGGTGTGGATGAAAAAAAGCAATAGCTATAATCAGCAACAATGATTGCTGGTGTAGACAGCCCACTACAGTTTTGCTCCAAAAAAACTTCAGAACACAGCATCTATAATGATACATCTGGAAGGGCCCACTCTTGCAACAATCATAAATAAATGTATTATATTGCAGTTTTAAACATATCTTTAATATGTATATAGTTTTAACTATCAGTGTTTAATTGTTTTTAATGGATAATATTTTCTATGTTTTAGCTGTGCTTGTTTTTATCTGCAAGCTGCCTCAAGTCCCATCAGGGGAAAAGACAGGGTATTATTATTATTATTAATAATAATAATAATAAAAACGTACTTGACAGTAAGTTCCATTTAAAACAATGGAGTTCACTGTCCCAAGCAAATGCATTTATAGCCATGATGTAATAGATGTATTCTCATTTGTTGTATTTTATAGTATCTGTGATTCAGGAAGATTGGACACAAATAAATAACTGAAACCGACCCAGAACATCTCAGCATATGATTCTAACTCATTTGGCAAAATGCAGATACCATGGATCACATCAAAACTGAGGAGTAGGGGAGGAGAAAGAATGGTTTTGTCTGCAAGTAATCTGCTGATAACAGCACTCCAACAAAACTGCTCTGCTGCAGAGAAAGCTAAGCTTTCAGGATAATACAAACTTATTTTGCCCACATCCCATTGAAATAATATAATGTGTAGCGCCTGGAGGAATCATCATCCCTAGCTAACAGGACCAGTGGTCAGGGATGATGGGAGTTGTAGTCCCAAAACATCTGGACGGCCGAGTTTGCCTATGCCTGGTTTAAATCTGTCTAAATAGCAACAGGACTCTGCAGATGCTATGGCATTTTTTAATGAGCTTCAGCATTATAATTAAGGCAGGAGTAAGAAACCTCAGGCCCAGGGGCCAAATGAAACCCTCCAGTGTCTCCATCTGGTCCCCAGGATTCTGGGTTGAATCCCTGATTGGTCCTTCTATGTCCTTTCCTCTAGTAATCTTAACCAGCTTGAAAGTGTCTTTGAATTATGGTGACAGTTATTGCTTGCCTGGATGAAGGATGGCAAGTGGTGTTTCTAGCCACACCCACCACTGATATGTGGCCGCTACAGGGAATTGTGGCCATTGAATTGAGCAAAGTTTCCCATCACTGCATTACAGTATTAATGATGGGGTTCTGGACAAATATCTGTGAGATCACCATTGTATGGTTCTGCTTGTTAGGAGACAAGAACTCCTACCATCCCAGGGGTTCAGTCTTTCCTGTTCACTCAAGAGTGTTGCTGGCAGTGTCCACAAATGATTTTTCATCAATGCCATTTGGTAAGGCTGGCTCCTTTTTTCAGGCTGCCTAAATCATGTCTTTGTAGCATCAGAGCTAGACTTACTATAATGCACCTTATGTATTGTTGCATTTGCTGATACACAGAAATTTTAGCTGGCACAGAAATTAATATTATGCCTCTAGCCAGAGGCAGTCTGTGGAAGCTCATCATGCCAGTGAGCCTCCTAGCCTGACTTCCTACGACTTGTGAGCATAATTTGGTGTGTAGGTGTTTAGAACTCTTAGCAGTACAGGTTCAATCAAGAGAACATATCCTCTTTCAGAACCCCTTCACAACTTCTACACCCAATAAAGATGTTCTTTGAATATAAAATCTGCTCATCAAGGGTACACAAAGCGCTGTTTTCAGTGGCTGCCCCAAAATCATAAATCCTTTCTTCTGAAGACATAAAACACCTAACGTCTGAACTTCATTCATAGAAATGTGGCCAATCACTTTCCTTTTTTGTACGCATTTTTGAAAACTATGCATAAACCAGTAATATAGCAGGCAAGGTTACCATGGGATATGTCTTCTGGGTTTTAAAAATTATGTATTTTAAAAAACTGAATTAGCTTACTGATATATTTCCAAGATTTTGAGATGGAGCAAACTAGAAAGTGTAATAAACTATTCAACATGAAACAGGCAAAACATAACTAATGGAGGCTATGAGACCTTTCCAATAACCTTGGAGGGAGCTGGCTCCCAGAGGAAATCATAAAGCTGTCAGTAAAACACAAAACTCATCTCTAGGTGGTTTATTCCAAACAATTAGCTGATGGACAGGATACTGTTTGAAGATAGGAAGTCATGAATTGGGCCCACCTTGCAAGATCTCCATGCTTCTTATCACTATCTGGGTAGGCACCGGCCAGAGACACAACTTCTGTTTATTAGGGAGAGTCATTTTATTTCTATTTCCAGTTCCTACTCTGTTCACTTGTATTGCAGTGTTGAGTATCTGGTAATAGGCCATGGAGAGCACTTCCTCACCAGTCATTTATTGATGTGAGACGCCAGCTGAATCTGCTGTTTCATTTAAGCATTGAATGAAGTCTGTGAAAGTCTACTAAGGATGTTACCATATTATCCATATGGAACCAGCAATGATAGTATTAGTAAATACATGTATGTTTTTCAGAAATTCTTGAGAGCCAAACATAACTACACTAGATTGCAGAAAATAACAGTACTGAGTAAATATGTAGTTTTTAACTGCAATATCATATTTGCAGTACTTACCACAAACCACTCCTCTCACACACAAATGGCTGGCTACAGATTATGTCTCTGTAATAGTACAGCTGGTAGATTTTTTTTGTTCCCTACTAGTTTTTAAGAAACAATCAAAATATAAAGTGATTAAAGAAAAGCTTTTGTTCCTTTTAGATGTTAACTTAGCAACAAAGATATGTGAAGTTTCATTTTCAGTTTTAAGTTTATTAAACATGTTTCCACATTAATTTGCAATTTCATTCAACATTTATTGAAAAACTTTAAAGATTTTCATGTTCTTTCTTGTAGCAGCCAGTCATTTTCTTAGTTTGTTATTCCAATTATTTATTACATTTCTTGCTACAGGTACACCTGATTGTTTTAGAGTAGGTCTCATTAATCTTGGGCCTTATGCCAGAGAATATATCACTATCATTTGTCTATTTTATCATGCATTTATTATTACATTGTATGCTTATCCTTGTCTTTCTTCACAGAGCTCAGGACAATGTACATTGTTCTCCCCCACTCACCACCCTGTGAGGTAGGTTAGGCAGAGAAAAAAATGACTTGAACCCATTCTCCTTGGATCTAGTCTGATACTCTGAATACTACATCACATTTATGTGAGCATCCATTTTTCTCAGCTCATTCTCCCTGATCAGCAATATTACCAATCCTATAAATAATTACCCAGGGGGCAGTCATAAATGCATAATGCTGATCACCCTTTCCCCTCACCTTTTTCTTCCTTCCACTTTCCATCTTATAGCCTGAAAGGACTATTGGCTTTTCAGTGCTACAGCAATTGTTCCATGAACTGAAGACACTTCCATTCACATAAGAAGAGTTTCGTTCACAGAAGTTCATGACTGCAACTCTTCTGCTCAGAGTTCCTACCCCCTATACACCATACAGTTTCCTTAGCATGACTATATCCCTCACTTCCATATATTTGAACAGAAGCCAAGGAAGTGTGCCATTTAGGGCACAGCGTAGAACCTTAAAAAATTACAATAGAAACAACACAAGAGATTGATCTTAATTAGAAAATGAATACATGTAATGCTACCTTATCAAGGCATCTATTCCTTTCCAGTGAAAACGCCAATAGCAACATATTGTTTGGTTTTACCTTCTGGTGGCCTGTTGGATGTTGCTACAACAACAACACCATTTTGGAACAGGTTTTCAAAGAGCTGCTTGAGAATCATGGCATCAGCAATGTCTGTGACCTGCGGAAGACAACACCGCCATCATGAGAGGCTGATTTTGACTTGCTCCATTAACTGATCTGCAACTGGTTTTTTGTAGTCACAAAAGAGGCTTGTTGGTTAAATGACAGAAGATTCTAATTACCACTTGCAGCAGAAAAGGAGGGAATAATTAATAAGCAGTGAATGTGCAACAATATGTCGGTTCTTTATAACAGAGCCCCATCATTTTTTAACCAACTGCTGGAAAATTCTGTGTTAACTTCCATTCTAAAACTACAGGTGGGAAACACAGAAAAATAGATCCAAACATTTAAGAGGCCTCATTAATTTGGACCAACACACACACACAACCCTCAGAAGATCAAGGAAGAAAATACACACCAGCTGCTTTACACTTCTATTACCTTTCCAGCAAAGGATCACAAAGGTGACTTTAAATGGTCATGGAACTTTTGGAAAAAAGGACAAGTAGCCAAGTATACATAATCAGCTGCTGTTGAAAATAGAATGATATGACATAGATACTATTGTGCAATTGTTGCACAAAACAATTCAACAGATGGCCCATCACAAAAAATAAGCAATTTCATTGTTCTTTTTAAGTGCCTTCTATTACTGTCCATGAATAATCAAAAAGGCACTGCAGTCAGTTCCAGCACAGTCAGCCTCTTCTAACCTTCACAGACACAAATCACTCTCTCCCTTCATAGACACACACATACACACTCACTAACTCGTTGTCTCAATAAAAATGAGGGCAGCAATTAATAATGAAAAGAAACTTTTGTCTGAACGTTTTCACTTTCTTGCTTATTGTTCATCAAATTATTACAGTTGGGCTCAAAATACTAACTTTATTATATGCTGAATTTAAATTAAACACATAAACTTACCATGGAGAAAGAGAACAAATGTAGAAGCAGGTATGAGAAATTCCAGCTGAAAATGGTTTAAGGCAGAGCTGAGTTTTTGAACAAAGTAGCTGTAATACATCTGAAATCAGAGCAAACAGCTCAGCTGCCTTTGCCCATAGTACCCTTCTATGCTTCTTTAACAGGCACTTGTGACACATTAAGAGCTAGTTTTGGAAGAGGCTCTGTCTGAACCAACTGACTCACGGCTGCAGGACTGGGCGATGGTGGGGCCCTGAATGCTGCAATACTGTGAATGGGGTGGCTGCACAAGCAAACACAATCAATCCTGACATATAACCATGTGAGAAATTAGGGTCTTTGGGGCTAGGAATAAAGAAAGAAAAAGAGAACTAAACAGGTTTTTAAACAACAACAAAACCCAGCTTCATGAGACCATTGAAATATGCAGAAGGCAACAGAAAGGAAAATAGGAAGAAATACACACCTTTCTTCTAGTTTGGAAATTGAAGTGGAAGGCGTCATGCAATAGGACAATCTAGGTTTACATCAGGGAGCACTCTGGCACATTAAGCTGCAAAATATTTATGACCAGAGGAAATGCAAAGAGGCCTTCTCAGTTGGTGTTTTGATGTTTCAGAATTTGAATCTATTTGCCTACCAAAATACATTAATTTTTTTAAAAGCTACATAATTAAAAAAGCAAGAGTCATTCTGTGTACTTGGGTGCCAATTTATGTCCTTTTGATCCTGTGTAGCTTTGGAAGAGAAGACAAAAGTGAAAGCATTCTCAAAGCCCAGGTTCTTTCTGTGCCCAGCATTCATTATAAATGGGAACAAAAGAAAAGGATACAAATTACCAATAAGAGGGATCTGCTAATGGAGAGAATGGAGAAATTTCATTAGCATTTAAGAGAAAAGATTTTTATGACCTAGAGTTGCTTTCTTTTCTCTTAAGTTGAAAAAAAAATCATAATGTATGTGTGTAAGTGCTTGAAGCTCAGTTATCCTCTGATTGGTACAGTTTCTTATAATGAATGAAGAACATAAGCATGTATAAGCAGTAATTAGTGTTAGCTCAAAAATAAGAGCTTAAGTTTTTTTATTATATGTTTTCAACAGCTTTTCCGGACTATCAGCATTGCATAAAGCATATTCATTTTTACCAAACACATGAGATATTGATAACATCACACAGTGCTTCTCAATTTTTCTGTCTTCCATACAGTTAGCATTCTATCCCCGCCCCCCTTACCATTAATGACTTCAGACTACTCTGTTTCTGAAGAGCCTTTTCATTTCTGGTTGGGATTTATGAGGATGACATAAGACTAAGGGAGAAGACAGATGCAATATAAAAAGAGCATTCATTGGATGCAGGATGAGAAATAGTATTTATTTTAGCAGCACATCTCAATGTGCACTAATGCAACAGAATCTGGGCAATGACAATCAACCTATACTGTATACTATAGCAATAGCAGCAACTAACTTCTGTATTTTATAGTTACTGTGTGTGCTTAATTTCAATTGGAACAAAATCTGTAACTGCTTTAATCAATCCTGTGATTTGAAGTGAAAGCCAACGTGGCTCTTCCATCTCTTGAATACTGTTAATGTAGTAAATACAGTGGACCCTCGGGTTACATTACCTTCGGGTAACATAATTTTTGGGCTGCGAACGCGGGCAAACCTAGAAGTGTATACTTCCGGGTTTTGCCATACGCACATGTGCTCTATATTTCAGGGTTTGCACGGACCCCCGGAAAGGAATTAAATTTGTATCTGGAGGGTCCACTGTACAGCAGAATGTATTTCAAGACCCAGGGTTAGCTCAAATAGTTACATATTTACAAACAGTTTCAAATTTTATAAATAATAACTGAATACAATAATTTAGAATTTAGACATATTGTTTCATATGAGGTTACTGTAATTACCTTGACACTCTCTTTTTGTTTCAAGTCTACAAATATGACATCTTGAAAAGTTGACCAATCAATTAATCAAGCACTTTTTAATGCTTCTGATTACATTTGACCAATCAATTGAACAGCATCCCACTCCTTCAAAGCAGAGAACACAAGTCCATCAAGTCACAACAAGTAGTAGAAAAGGGTATGAACACACAGGCCAGGAATGCAATACAAGCCAGAAAGCCATGTGTCTTAGTACATGCCCAAGAAACACACAGTTGAAAATAACACACTGGATGAGAATTCAACAATGTCGTACTTGAAGTAGACCCACTGAAATCCACGGACTTAAGAATCTCCAGGAAGACTTCGTTGGGTATCAGCCACAGTCATAAAAATGGTCACCCAGTTACTAGTGAGCAGCACTGGCGGAGGAAGAGGAGTGCGGGGGAAGTGCACCGCCCCTGGCAGCGTGATCCCAGTAGGGTGCCATTGCGGCTGCCCCCTCCGCCCGCGACGGGCACCACGCCTCTGCTGGCGGCACACACCATGCCCCCAGGATGCATGCCATGCCCCTGTGGGCGGTGCGCCCCGACCCTGGGACGTGCGCCAGCCCTGCCCCCACCTGTTCTCCACCCCCCCCCCGATGCCAGAGCATGAAGCTCCGCCACTGGTAAGCAGTAAGGCCATTCTGAAATGAATGCCACAGAAGCTCGACTGAGGTTAAAGACCAGAACCAGCTAGAAATCACAGTACCTTATGCAGTGACTGTTATGGTGGTAGTCATTGAAAAATAGTATACGCCTCAGGACTACACATCTGACACAAACCCAGGCACAAGGCTAGCCCACCCATGAGGCAAAGTGAGTGGCCACCTCAGATAGCAGGATCCACAGGGACAGCAGATCCGGCCTCCAAGGAATGCATCGCCCACTCCTGCCAATGCAGCAGCAGCAACGACTGTGGTGAGCTCCTAGAAGGTTGGATTTGCCTTATCCTTGGCAGCCCCCTCCATGCCACTTCAGCTGTGGCTCCTTGGCAAATAGGAGGCGCTGCTGGTCTCCTACCACCCTTGTTCCCAATGTAGATCTTCACTCACCCCGCCTTACTTGGCAGGGGAGTGCCATTTTGTGGCTTGCCTCAGGTGATATACCTCACATCCATCCATTCCAACCATCCTCTGTTTGCACTACTGCTTCACTCTATAAGCCCAGTTTAGTCTCCAACCCAAGTATGTGTCCCTGGCCTGATATCTGTACATATAACAACTATGGCTGCTGGAGAGCAAAATCAGTGCCTCCCAAACCAGTACGACATGAGGACTGCTCTTGATCTGCTGTTGTCCCCTTGAACAAGAGGAGATGCAGTACCCAGCTGTCATTATTTCAGTGTCAAGGCTGTCACTTGGAGGAATTAAAGAAAAAGGAATAACTCAATCTAAAGTTATTGCCCAGGGCACAACAATATAGAAACGTTTTCTAGAAACATTAGCTTCTAACGTTTTTTTCAAATCCTTTCTATCAGTTACCTATAGAAAGCAACTTTATGGGTGCTTTTCTTCAAACAGTTTTAGCAGCAGAGAAAGTGAATGCTAGAAGACATTTGGGTCCAGCAGCCCATGCTGAGATTCAACTCCCTGATGCTGGGTAACTCTGGCGAAATCATTTTCTCATATTTCAAGTATCAATTGGCAAATGGAAATCATCGTGACCACAGAGCTCTTTTGAGGGGGAAGTGGTATCTTATCAGATAATGTATCTTGGTTGCCATTTCATTTTTTCTTCTTCAGAAGTACACAGTGGATAATATCTTGCTTCTAAAATTACCTTCACAAGGGTATTCTTTCCATGCTCCCTTTTTCCAGTGGAGAAAGCTATTGTTGTAGCATATGAAATTCAAAGCTACCATCATCATCCACACGTCTAGTGGCCAACTATCTAACCCATTAAAATTGTATCTCACTGTACTTCATCTTGATGGCAGCCCATTAATACACATACTCCATGATCATTCAGCTAATGGCTCTGGAGCCAACACTTACCTCACTCACCCATTTAACAGTATCCAAGGCCTTAAAGTCAAGGTATATTATATACACTACATCTCCATAGTCTGCTATGCCAGTTTCCTATCAAAGGAGGAAATTAGGCTAGACTGGTATAATTTGTCTTTGGCTGATTCATGCCATTTATCATATTCCCTATTCTCCACTGGTCATTTACAAATGGTCTGCAGCTCAGTTGCTGGATATAACAGGGACACAATGGGACTACAAGTATTTTAATGATGAACTCCTCAACAGATTTATCACCTGTCAGGAAACAAACACACTTGATTGCCTTGTGCCACCTTGATTACTATTAACCCAGCTGTGAATTTTCACATGCCAAAGAGAAAAAAATATGGGATATTGCAAAAGGGAAGTGGCAAGTTTCCACACAACAATGTGGACAGCTCTGATTCTGGGCTTCTTGAACTATAAAACTGGAATAAATTTGGATTACAACTTTGTAGACGTACTTTTGTCTAAAGGAAACTCTGGATAATCTTGTTTCAAGTATTATAGCATGAAGAGGTCTCTGAAGGCACTGTTTGTAGGACAAAACTCTGCTGAATGAAGCAACTGACTATTGCAGTGGAATAAAATGCCCTATTGAATGCAGGAGTGGAGAAAGCAGCTCAGTTCAGAATTGCATCCACAGCTTCATTTCTTTGTTTTGTCCTGTGACAAAGAGAGTAATCTACATTATTAAGTGATTGTGCTGGCCAGAAACAGCATCCACACTGACTATGCTATTCAGGGCATCCAGAGGATCAGTACACTGATCAGTGCAGATTTCAGCTCATTCCCAAGGTAGCGCAAGATGAAACTTTACAAGGTCAAAAACAGGATTCTCAACCCTGTGTGGGCTTCACAATGCAAAAGGGCTATGCAGGCCCTGACTGTCCATCTGGCAAATGCCATACTGGCTGGTGCACTGAAGGCCCTCTGTATCTGTCTGCTGGGTGCAGAGGAAGGATGCTTTCGAACCCCTGCTTTCGAACTCCTTTGGTCGTCGTCCCGTCCCCCCTCCCCCCGCTTCTTGTGGGTGACAGCGTTAGATGGTGACTGAGGTAGCCAAAGCTCCTGCTGCAGCAACTTGTGGAGAAGCAGCTTTAGATGCAAGCCAAAGATGAACCGGGCATAGCTGTGCCTAGTGGCAGCTGGAGGCAGATGGCTCTGGGGACAAAGCAGAATGGGAGGCTTTCCCCAAGCTGGCTCTGAGGAGGGAACAGGGAGAGAGTAAGAATTGGAGGATGGGGGCTCAAGGTCACCTGCCTCCCCTTATGGACAGCAGAGGAATGTGAATAGATCTCTCCTTTTCCTCTCTCTGGTTAGTGGCATGTCACCCAGATAGCTGGAAGAGGGAGGGAAGGACTTGCACCTTGGCTGGCTTATGGTTTCAACTGCAGAGAAGCAAGTAGGCAGAAGGTAAGGGGCTGGGAAGGGAGAATGACTGGCTGAGAATGGAAACAAGGTACAATGGTACCTCGGTTACATACGCTTCAGGTTACATATGCTTCAAGTTACAGACTCCGCTAACCCAGAAATATTACCTCAGGTTAAGAACATTGCTTCAGGATAAGAACAGAAATCGTGAAGCGGCAGCGCAGCGGCAGCAGGAGGCCCCATTAGCTAAAGTGGTTTTTCAGGTTAAGAACAGTTTCAGGTTAAGAACCGACCTCCGGAATGAATTAAATACATAACCAGAGGTACCACTGTGTTGCTGAAATTCCATAAGCCAAAGCAGCCCATATAAAAATGAGTCAGGAAGAAAGAAGAGCTGTAGGGGAGGAAAGCCACTCAGGCCTGCAAGGGTAGATGCCCCAACCTAAAGGGTAGATTATTTGGTTCCAACCCACGCAGGACCTGAAGGGGGACCAGACTGTGGATATTTAAGCAGCGTTAGAAACTCCCATTGTTCCATGCACATTTTGCAACAGGAAATTTCATTAGCGTGAGCTGTTTCTGAGCTCTGGGCGCAGTACTGCACCTAAGATTTCAGATTAAAACGGCAGAATGGAAGGAAAGAAGGACTTTTTCCCGCCTCCCCACTTCCAGCTACTCTCCTAAGACTGGAGAAGAGACCCTCTTAAGAATATTAGGAGGGTGGGAAGGGAAGGACTAGACCATGTGAAAAATTAACATAATATTTTAGCTGCAGTTCATTTATTTTCAGCTTTGTAGTCTTCTTATAAAGAAAAGCGTGCCAAGACATTCTGTTGTTGTGCCCACAACCTAGGTTTAAGATGCCATTTAGCTCCTAGCTAAGTCAAGAAGCTATCCCAGTAACTGTCCAGGACAGCAGAATCCATTAAATGCTCCCTGGTGGAGAAGACAGCAAGCAGGACACAGTTTTCTGCACCAGACAATGGGAGCTCTGGGCCAGAGCTCTGCAACAGTTAAATAAGGCATTTTTTTTAATTAAACACATATTTACATTTAAACAAGTGTATGACATAAAGCACATAATCTGGCAGAGCCAACAGAATTGAAGCTAGGCTGGTGTACTGTCTGTCACAGGTGCTGGGGTGCATTTTTAAGGAAGAATTGGTGTGTGGGAAGGTTTAACAAAAGGACCACAAAATGCACTTGCCACTACTGTATGCAACCACCTTAGTCCCTCTTCCCCAGTCACTACCAGGTACTGGTATTTCAAAGGAAATAAGGTTAGGAATTACACTTTACCAGCCAGCCTTAGGTAAACCTTTGTAAATGTCAATTAAAGATACTGTAACCTTATTAAAGCAAATACAAGTCTTAAGGGAACAGTTAACAACTGACTTACAGTGTTTACCTTCTTTTACACTTATAGTTTATAATAAATAAATAATATCTTGTAACTTTTACTTATAAAAGTGTGGCTGGCTAAAGTATCACAGCCACTGTGTTACAGTTAAAGGTGTTGATAAACAGTATAATACAGATATATTATATTTGATGGGAGCAGTTAGAAGGTGAATCAGCTGTGGTAAAAAAAAAAAGCTAGTTCTCCACATGCTAAAGAAAAAGTGAATTCACTGCAACTTGCCTTCTAAATGAACATAATGGACAAAGAGGACGAGTCTATCACCTATACATCTACTTGAAGCTGTGGCTTTAGGCCATGTAAACATCTATAGTACAACTTTAGATCTAGAACAGGGCAGCCCACAGCTACAGGCTCTGGTAGAAGTTGGAAGGGGGAAATGTTCTACAGTACGCTTCCAATAGCACATGAAATATAAAGCCAGCAAAATATCTTAGTGGAACAACCAGGATACCATGCAATTAGACTAGTTCGTATCAGCAAAGTCTTCAAATGGCTAAGCTGAAAAATGTTTTGCCAGTTTAAACTTATTTCCCAGAAAGGAAATTAATGCACTTCTGGTCTAAATATTATTACCTGAAATTCATCAAAGCACAAGAGACAAGCCTCCTCACTTATTTCAGCAGCTACTGGGGCTATTGGGTCATATGATTTAGCCATTAATCCAGGTTTCCGTTTTGGCAGGGTCTGTTTAAGGCGATGTATTCCTGAAGAGAAGACAGTGCACAGACAATAAGCAAAAACTAATTTTTGGTCTAAGTAAGCCTAAATATAGCATCATGCTTACCCATTAGTAAAACCAGCGATATGACAATTAAGTCAAAAGTGAATTTAAAAATACATTTTAAAAGTTGTCTGCTCAACTTTTTGGAGGTTTATTTTATTTTTATTCAGTATTGCTTTTTTCTAGACCCTGGATGAGAATTTGAATTACCAAATCACAAAAAGAAAAAGAGCACTTCTGTGTGGAAGTTATACCATTGAGGGGGGTGAGGTAACCACAAAGTACTGGAAAATAGTAATAAGATAAAGCTTCATAGGTTTACAAAATGGTGTGGGCATGGAGGCAGGAATGTAGCCTTGATTGTTGAAAACTACATCTCAGGAAATGGTTTCAGTCAGTTGAGTCAGTCATAGAAATATGAAGGCCTGTGTAACTATAGTGAGTTGGCTCACATGTAATATTAAGGCAAACCACGGCTTAGTGTGAATAGGCAAGTGAATAGAGCAAGTGTAAGTAAACAGAGAAGCGGGAAAGGATATAAAGAAGCTGTGAAGAAACCTCACATAAAGTCCGGGAACGTTAAGGGCTAAACATTACTAGGATGGGAGGTGGAAGAGGTCTGTGTGCCAAAGTACAATGAACCCATATTTCATGTTTTGACTCAAAATAACTAAATACTTCAACTACAGGTCCTGAAAAAGGTGCGTTGTGGAGAAATCAAACTTATTACCCCATTTAACATGCCACCTATTACACAAAGCATTACTAAACTTGCAGACAACAAATTACTAGAGAGATTATCTTATTATGGTTGTGGGAACACCTCCTCAAGCACAGACCTAGGGACAGAATAATGTATCTATCTATTGATACTTTTAACATTGCTGTGGGACAATGAGCACCGGAATAATAATATTTATAGAATGTAGGACATCACAGCAATGTGTAATCAGCAACAATATATTTTAGTCTACCTTATAGATGAATAGGAAGATGTCCGTGGTTGGTTGCATAAGGAAATCACTCATTCTCATTTGATGGCCTTTTCCTATATTCCTAATTTGATGTCCAAACATCTCAATTCCATAATGTTTACTTGAGTGAGAAACAGAAACTATGTATCTGTTTCTCACTCTTCCTCCCCCCCTTTTTTTACTAAAATGGTTTTTAACTCATTTTCATGTATATTTCTATCACTGAATATGAATGTAACAGGAATGCAGAAGACAGGATCTGCTTTTTAGTTAAAACCAGAAGTCTGTAATCATGCAAATAAATATGATGTAACACAACTGGTCTACTGCTTGCTGATGTCACAGAAAAAGTGAAGTCTACATACTCAAGTCTTGCAGTACTTTTCCCACAGCAATTTCTAAGGGAAAGGAGCATTTTGGGATAACTTTATTCAAAGTGAAAGATCAGAGGTCCCCCAGAAACAACCTATACAAATCCCTTCTCTGTTTTCAGATAATAGCTCTCCCTTCTGTCACAGCAAAAGGATTCAGGAGGAGAAGGATGAGAAGACATTAAGAGGCAGACAGTGTTATGAACATGGGACATATCCATACCATACTGTACTGCATCAAAGAGATTTAAACTTACTTTTGTGCACATCTAACATGAAGCCATGAAAATGGACTCTCTTTTTTCTTTCTACTTCTATATGAGAATAAAATATGTCCATCACCATTGTCTTTCCTGTGCCTTCAAATAAAAACACACATACCCAACAGGTTGTTAATTTAAAACACTATGTACTGATTACAGTAATGACTGTTCATTAGCATCGAGCTAATGAAATCATAATCGTGATCTGAACAGTACAAAATCATTATCTTTGGGAAACAAGACTTCAGCTTATGTGGATGGAATTGCTTGTATTATCAGAATCTGAACTAAATATAATATCAGAACCAGCAACTGTAATTATTGCTTCCATTTGAAATACTTTCAGCACCACACATTATGAATAAATGTGATGCCTCTCTTCTTATTTTCAATTTTTATGTATCAACTACAAATGCAGCCTTGTTTAATCAGTCCAAGGGTCCATCTACCAAGCATCCTGTTTCCAATTGTGGCCAGAAAGATGCTTCTGGGAAGCCCACATAAGCAGGGCATCAGGTCAGCTGGCTGACTACATTGTATGCAACCCAGTACCAAGCCTTCAGAGGTACACTGTAACTGAATCTGGAAGTTGTTTGAACCAATAGCTAAACCTTAAATTTGATGCATTGCAAAAGGAACCAAATTAATATGGGTTTAACTGTTTCTTCTTCGATGTTTGTCAATAGATATACCGTATCTGTCTTGCACTTAAGAATAAAGAAATAACATTTTAGCAGCTCAAGGCAAAAATACTTTAATCTATTTAGTCCCATTACCATCAACAGAATTAACATTTTTCAGTGACTAGGTATTATTTGAAAACATATGCAAATATTATACTGGAAAACATTCAGATATACTTCTGCTAAACTTACCAACATCTCCATAGACATAAAGGCCTTTTGGGGGTTTATGTCTTGTAAACAACTGAAAATAAAGAAAATCATTCATTATACTTTATTTTGCTCTGATAAAAGCTAAATAATGAAACAGACACAATGTACAACACATATTTATCAGGTACTCTGTCATTTGCAGTAAGTTGAGTCTGGCTTAGTTTTGACTTACAATGAAAATATATGAAAAAACAAGCTTTGATAGCGGATGGTGTCCTATCAATTAAGAGCGAGCACAATGCAATGAATTGACTGTTGGGTTTGGCCAGAGTCCAGATTAAATAGATGACTTTGGGCATCATCATCCAGTAAGCCCAATATACCACCTCTCAGGCATGCTGCAAGGATTTTAGGGAAAAATATCCTTTTGGATATTTGGATTATAACATATATACCTAATAATATCCTGGAAAATAATGTTTGGGCTTGTTTGTTTTTAAAATGTTAAAGTTCCCATTATGTTCAACTAGGAAAGGAATTAACCCTTTAAAGTAAAACAGTTATTTCAATAAACATGTGAACCTTGCTTCCTAACTCACCCAACTTGCATTTCTGAGGACTTCCTGTACCCAGATCTTTACAGCTTTGTCTTACAGTTTGTGTCTATGTTACTTGGGAAATGTTAGATGTATACTAATTTTCTGTCCAAGACAAGTCTTCAGAAAAAGGACTTCAACTAATCTGAATTTATTTTTAGTTTTATGATGCTGGTAATTTCTTATGGTTGCTTAGATCTGTACCTGGGAGTACAATTGCCACACAATTAGCCTTTCTGAAGTAATAGTGGTGAAGATGGTGATCTGAAAATTCCTCTCAAAACAGAAACCTCATAAATGGTCACCAGTGTCTAGCACTATTGTGTCTGCAACCCAAAATTCATGTTGCAGATGTTTCTGATTATCAAAATATTTTATTGGCTAGTTGACTCATAGCGATCAAACTGCACTTTAGCTTTAGTCCCTGCAGCTAGTATTTTATTAAACACATACTAATAACCACATTTCAAAGCATTTAGAAATAAAAATTGCAAACTTGTACATATCTGCAGCAACAGTAACCACTTCAACACACACAACAACAAAACTCCACAAAATAAAACTATGGCAAATGTCCATATTCTGTAAAAATATATATGCTATTGATCACATAGGAGATATCAGTACATAGAAGCAGGCATCTGCATGTGAATTGCACTTCTTCATCTCACCCCATATGTGCCAAATGGATGTATATATATGAAATAAGGTGGGGGATATAGCAACCACTAAATTGATCAAGGTTCCATCTATATTTCCTAAGATGGAGAGATTCAGTAATGGTGATATTTCTGGCCAGCATTATATGCAATTCCCATATTTATGGCTTTGGAAGAAGCAACCAAGTTTTTGGAACAGGATGGCAGGATGTTTTAAATGCATCAACTATACGTACATAGTCTATCTAATGTAACATTATATACCCTGGTATTCTTAGAAGTACTAATAGTGGTCAGTCAGACAGAACTATTCGAAAATTAAAGATAAATAAGCTAGCATCCAAAGAATTATCTAACTGGTTTATTGTGCCCAGTGTGGCTTTAAAATAACATTTATTGAACAGAACTTGCATGGAAAACAACTTTTGAAACTGGGGAGTTTGCTGTACAAAGAAAACAAGCATAGAACCATTAGTAAAAGCCTTTGATCTCACCTCAAGTAGCTCTTTGATATCTGTCACTTATATAAAAACAATCAAGCATGCTGAAATATTTGTCTTTAGATTTTCAACCCACTACATCATTTGCTAAGCAACTGGAGAGAATTATTTTTACATATGCCTGTTATTCTAAGCAGAAAAAACTGGTAGTGAGACAGGTCTCATCAGTTTATGTGATTGCATAGATATTCACCATCATATTTCACAAATGTACTAATTTAGTTATTGCTTTTACAATTTTTTTAATGTAACACTAGAGCTGAAACAAATTAAAGTTCAAATTTTTTTTATCTCACGTGGAGCTGAGCAATTTCTAGACCGTGTTTCAAATAAAAACTGCATTACAGATAAGTATTTTCCTCATCAGTTTGTCAAGATTCTTTGCCTTTTAAAAATCAGTATATTCAGCAAGCCACACAAGCTAACTATTACAACTTAAACCACTTGAAGATTTAATTTAGAGCCAAATTAAACTGTGCCCCAAGAAGTTAATTTGGTGGACATTTGCAACAAGGTTTTAGATGTTCTGAAACTGTTTCAGTAATAGTTAGCTGCAACTACTGTAGTAAATTGTGCTGCGAAAATACAAGACAAAATTAGGGTTGTTTTCTAGCCTGTCTGTTTTTTAAGGACTTGTTTTCAAAATGCTTGCTTACTATTATTCAATATACTTAATTATTCAAAATTACTTAATATTCAAACACTGAACAAGGAAAGAACAAAGAAATAAGGAAATGGAAATGGTTATCTGCATTAGAATACTAAATAACAGAGTAGAAAATTGTGGAGATTACATTTTACGCCATTAACAGTCCAAATCCAACAGCTCCTTTTTTTTGCAAGAAGAGTATTTATAAGCGATCTGGAGTTAAAGTTGAGCAGTGAGGTGAACTAGTTTATAGGTGACACAAAGTTATTCAAGATGGCAAACTTGTAGCCAACAAAAAAAAGTACTCCAAAAAGTATCCAAGCCAGAAGACAGAACAACAGTGATATACACTGCAGAGAGTGTATGGAGGAGAAAGAAAATCTTAATTGCATGCATGTTGAGAGGGGAGTCAATACTTGCGCTAAACAGAAATCTTTGGATAACAGGACAACATGTACTGTACAGAAAATATCAGTTCAGTATTAAGAGGTAATCCTCATAGCATTGCTCATGACTGAAGCTGTGGGGAAAGGTTGTATGCAACTGTGGAGGGGATGTTTGATCTAATGGCCAATTCCTAATATAGGGGGGTTTTTTGAGGGGAGAATTACAACAGCTTTGCTTAAAAAAAAAGAAGTAAATACAAAGTAATAGTGTTAGACTGTTGCTTTAGCTAGTTACTTTTTATTTTTAAAAGTTCTATATTGCTTAACTACATATATTGCTTAACTACAATGGTCTTTATGGGGTGTACAAGAAATACAACACAGAAAAGGTATAAAATCAGACTGCTGAAATAAAATGCCTGCTAGAATAAAGAGTATTCAGTAGATGCCAGAAGCTTAACTGGGAGGGGGCCTGTCCTGACCTCAACTGAAAGAGAGTTCCACAAAATTGGGTCCACAATACTGAATACATGGCTTCTGGTAGATATGAGCCATGCATCTGAGTCACAGGGATGGCTGACAGAGACTTCCCTCAAGTCCTCCGTGATTAAGCAGGGATATGAGTGATTAGGTGGTCCTTGTGGCATCCTGGAACCAAGTTGTTAAGGGCCTAGTAAATTAATACAAGAACATTCAAGTTGGCCTGGTAGCATAGGGGCAACCAGGGTGACACTTTTTAAACACCACTGGTGGTGGTGGTCTATATGGACCATTGGTCTAGGAGTGCAAGGTTGCTCATTACAACCTTAGACTCAACTGCCTACCACTATGTTCTACCCAACTCATCTCATCCACTTTGTCCAGTATCCCTACATATTTCCTACCCTTTTCATATTCACCCTTCCAAGGGTCTTCTTAGTTAATTCCCAATACATGACAATACAAAGGACTACTGACATTTTCCTCTCTGTAGCCTAGTGCTGAAAGTCTAGCAGCAATGATCCAAAGACTTAGGCAGAAGTATCAAAGGCTATGTTTAAGGAAGCTTTTAATGCTTGATGGACTACTGTATTTTAACATTTTGTTGGAAGCCGCCCAGAGTGGCTGGGGAAACCCAGCCAGATGGGCGGGGTAAAAATAATATATGATGATGATGGGATCAAGTATAGTGCAATAAAATAATCAATTTCTATCATTCATTTCTGTTTAGAACTCCGACAATTGTGTTCTGGCAAAAAGTTCTTTGTGGGACCAAAGTATTGCCTTCTGACAGCAATAATGAGCAATTCTAATGGTGAATCTGTTCACCGGGAAGTGGGAGAAATGACTTTCACCATGATTTTGGAAGCACAAAGGCAGATGTACTGAAGTCCATGGAATAGTGGCAGCTAGATCATATTGCACCTCATGCTAGTCTTACTTTATTGCAGGAGAAACAGAGTTCAGAAACCTGAATAAAGCTTGTAGGCCAAACACTGTTTCTGAGAACTGAGATTAAGTTTGGAATAGAGAAAGCCCTGCCACACACTTGAGAATTGTGGACATTTAAACAATATGTGTTTAACTGTGAACAAAACTTTACAAGGCATGTACATGGGTAGGGCCTCCCCCTTCAATATGAATAGGTAGGGATTTCACATCTAATCCATAACCAAGTCAGAACAACTTCATCAGTTATTAAGTGATATATTTGACCAGAGGTGGCCAACATGGTGCCCTGATGGGCTCCAACTCCATCTTCTCGGATCACTGGTCATGATGGCAAAGACTGATGGGAGCTGTAGTCCAACAACATCTGAAAGGTACCATGGTGGCTACCCCTACAGATATGATCAGAATTACAATACTGGTTCCAGCTCAAGAAACATACTGTTGATCTGTCCTCTCCATCAGCTCTTGCCACTAGTACTTTAGCCTGGACTTATAGATTAGGTAAAGTCAACCAACTGCACTTTTGCATGATTAAAACCAAAGCAGGTTGCCATTGTGGCAGCCTGACAAAAAAAAGTGGACAGGGGATAGTTCACCATCAACAACAAAAATGGGATTCACGAAACATTAAAAAAAATGAGTAGGGGAATACAGGTAAGGTTTTGCAAAATATCAGTAATCAGAGGAATTCAGATATAGAGCACATAGAGCTCCCACATAAGAAAGGCCTTCCATGACGGTTTTAGGCTTCATTTTTCCATTGAATTTGCAGAGCTAACAAAATCAAAGGGGAAATACTGTCATACCTGGGCTCCATATGTGCACCATAGGATTTTGGATCAGAACCCTTTTCAAAAAGTATATAAACTGGTATTCTAAATTTGCTAAAAATCATTTTGTGGAAAAATCAACTTTTAACAAGTTTCTCATTTAGACAAAGAATGTAGTGCAGTGGTCATTACTATTTTTGTAACTGTGAGATGAGGCCCGAAGTCCCAGCTCTGCCTCACAGGGTGGTCCTAGGTGTGTTTTCTCAGCCCGTTTCTCATGTGTAAATAAGAATTATTAAATGTTACCGTCTACACAATTGTTGCAATCAGAAGTAAGGAAAAAAACCTAAGTTGAACATTAAAGACTCTACAGTAATGTCTAGTGACAGAATCTCACCTTTGATAAGATGTGCTTTGGACTGATACTATAGCCTTTAAGGCTTTCATGTAGCTTCTGCAGGCATTGTACAACTTTTCGTTGTTGCTCATCGTTCCTCAGCTCCTCGGCTTTGATCAGAAATTCATAATGTTCTAAAGGTCCATTGCAAATTAACAAGGCTTTGGAATTAGCATCTGCTCGAGTGCCACTGGCAGCTTTCTCAGCTGCCTGAACTGTGTAAGCTGTAAAAAAGAAAAGTGGGGGAGGTAAATAATGATTTATTTTATTGTCAATGGAAAAGCTTGAAGATTCAGAGACATTCTTATATGTTCAAATATACACATAGCCATATCAGACTCTATTTATTTACTGTGCCTTTTAGTCTAGGAGGTGCCTATTAGGCTCCTCATGCTGCAGTCCTACACACACTTTCTTGGGAGTATGTCTTATACAGACGCTTCAGGTTACAGCCTCTGCTAACCCAGAAATAGTACCTCGGGTTAAGAACTTTGCTTCAGGATGAGAACAGAAATCACATGGCCCCATTAGCTAAAGTGGTACCTCAGATTAAGAACAGTTTAAGGTTAAGAATGGACCTCCAAAGCGAAATAAGTTCTTAACCCGAGGTACCACTTTATATATGTAGAATGTATAGGATATGATAGGATGTTTTGTTATCTGGTGTTGGGACAGAAGTAGGATAATGAGATGCACTTACACAGCCTGCTGAAATTTCCTCTTCACCACAAATATAAAAAAATGTAGGAGCCCTGTCCCTGTTGGAACTGGCCAGGACAGACAAAAGTCAAATCTGTAATTATCCATTCTTCTTGCTCTGCCTTTTGTTTCATTGCTCAAGTTTGAAATTTTCATTAGTTCAAATATAGTATTCTATGACAATTAGCCTAGGGCTAAAAGGAGCTGAAGTCCAAAACAATTGGTAAACAGGAGACTGAGGAAGACCAACATAAGCTTTAATGGACTTCAGTGCATTTCACTGGATGCATAAAATGTTTTAAGTTTACGTTACACAGTAAATTCACTATGCTTGAATAAAACACATTCTGGACTGAAAGCTTGTGTGCAGCATCTAGTAGATTTTAGACACAACATTTATGAAAATATTTCTAAACCACCATAAGATAAAATATCAGGGCAGTGAACAAGAAAACATAAAAAACCATTAAAAAGAATTAAAATGACTGGTTCATCCATTTAAACAGCTGCAAAGGTTTGGTAGAATAAAAATATAGCATAATAATAATCAGAGTTTTTTTGTGATGGTACTCACCAGTACAAAGTACCAGCACCTCATTTTTTTAACCGAAAAAACACACTAATAATGATGATAAAACAGTGGGAAGCACTGACATTTTGAATTCTTCAAACTTAAGAAAAAGGCTACAGAAAATCCCTCCATGGTGGACAAATATTCTGAAACATCACAGTCAAAAACACTTCTTATCTGAGTATCCTTAAATGCCACAGAAAATAATCGCCACTGTTCCAAAAGGCCCCATATGTAAGGTAGTGTGGTTTGTGTAAAGTTGGCGGTGAAGGGAAGCCCGCAGAACATCTCCAATACATTTGCTCCTGAGGAAGTCGAGGGAGGAGAAGGAGCGCTCCTAGTTACCGAAGGGGCTCCTGGACAGAGGGGCTTTGGCCCAGTCACGACCCGGCGGTGAAGCAGAGGAGCAGCCGCCGTTTGACAGGCGTTAACTCTGGGCAGTGGGCGCTCAGCCCTCCGCGGCCAGGACCGCGCCGTCCCAGATCTAAGCGGCACTAACCTTTCCGCGGGGCGCCGGCTTCAGCCCACCCGGTTAGCAGGAGAGCCGCGTGTCGAGCGGCAGCCCTTAGAAAGCAGCGCCCAGTAACCAAGGGCGACACGGGCGCCGCCATCTTGCCGAGGCCCCCCGCCTATCCTTTTCCTTATGAAGGAAAACTTTATTGAGAAGAAACGGACGCAGACAGCCACGAGTCAGGCCGGTTCCAGTCACCTTCACCTTGAGGCGGCGTTCCCGGCACAGACTACACGCTCCAGAATGCAACGCGCCGCTCCCCTCGCGCCGATGGAAAGCAGCCGGATACAACGGCATGCCGGGAAATGTTGTTTTTAATGCCCTCAGATGCCGACCCAGAACTGGGAGATCGCTGGGGTGAATAAACGTGCACCACTGGGACCGCAGGCTGAGGAGACAATGTGTATTATTTAGCTACACGTCGTGCAGACCCTTATGATCCCGTGTAAGAGACTGTACCTTGCACTAGTCTCGCTGCGATAGCTTAATAATTGACACCAGGCAACTCAAAACCCCTTTAGATGGGAAGTTACTCAAGATGACGTGCTTCCCGATCCTGTGCGTTTACTCTTTCATCACATAAGCAAAATAAGTTCATCTTTTATGCTGAGGCAGGAAAAGAAGTTATGCTGCAGGAAAAACAATCAAGAGGAGGCTGTCCATAAAGCAGGCCTTGCCCTATACAGCAAACAGTTTCCCTATCTTACACTAATTGGCATAAAGTTTGTCTAACATATAAACAGCATTAATACCTCTCTTTTTAAAAAAAGTAATTCTTACATCAGTACCTGCCATATTATTGGACTTAATGCCAATAAATGCACTGGAATGACAACACTACTATCATTCTTTCCTTATTTGATTTGGACGTACCCCTCACACCCCTACAAGAGCTAACCAGTGCCTTGATCTCTGCAAATGCTTGCTGTGTCACACATCCACACAACACATTTAAGGCACTCTTACACCACTTCTCATGGCTTCTCCTCTCCCGGCAAAGAATCCTGGAGACTGTGGCTTTTTAAAGGTGCTACAACTTGTTGGCAGACCTTACAGAGATACAATTTTCAGCACTCTTAACAAACTACAGTTCCCGGGATTCTTTGAGGAATTTTTTTGTATGTGGTTAGGGTGTGGATGTGACCTTAGAAATATAGTTGTAACTACACCAACAAAAGGAACTGATGAACAGTTGAGGAAAGAGATGCTCAGTCATAAAATTGCTACTTACATTGATCAACCTGTAAAACACTTAATTGTTTCAGTTCCCCCCTCCCTTCTTTTGATGCAGTGTGGGAAGACCTTGCAGTTGAGAATGTAATAACACATATCCATCAATTAGAGCTAGATTAGCAGCTCTATCCCCTACAATTGCCCTGCTGTTCCATGAATCTTCCCATTCTGGAGACATGGCACTGTTGACCACCTTTCCAGTGCATAATAGGATGCTTGCATACTCACTAGTGTGCATTATGTCATGGTGGAATGTTGAGCCACTGTGTCAGGAACAGGAGTCGGGAGCTGGTAGGCAATGAATCACACAGCAAACTCTTTACTCAAGAAAACACAGTTGACTCAGAGGGCCAGGCCTAGTGGTCACAGCAACTTGTCCGGGTAGATCTTGCCCCTTTGAAGCAGTTGTGGGGCCTGAAGGTCCCCACCTTCCCACACTTCCTTAAGTCTCCTCCTTCCCCAGGGTCCTTTCAAAGCAATCTGAGACTCTCTGCTCTGCCCTTTTCATACCAATTTTGGTTCTGGGAGATCAGGAGGGAAGGGAGCTAGTCGCAGCAGGAATGAGAGACACCCTGGCTTCCTCACCAGCCTGACTCATCTTTGTCATTTGGCCTCTCCTCCTCTCCAGCCTCCGCTTCTGCCTCTGATTTTGGACTGTTCTCTGCCACAGACTCTTCCTGCTCCCTAAACCCTGTTACCTCTTCAGCTTCCAACACCTCTTGCTCCCAGTCTGCTTCCTCTTTCCCCCCTGACCACTCATTGTCATCCCGACCCCAGTCCCCTGGCTTTGAGCCCTCTTCCCCTGGGGTTCCCCTGCTGATGCCTCCAGCTACTCCTCTGCATCCAGCCAGTCCACGACAGACACTCAGTTAAGAGAAAAACTACAAAGAAGTTTGTGGCACCATAAAAAAATAACAGATTGACTGTAGCATAATCTTTCATGGGGTAGTATCCAATTCATCAGATGTAAGAAGCCTGAAAGCAGGATCTGAGTACATCAGCACACTTGGATGGCTTTAAAAGAGGATTACACAAACACATGGAGGTACAGGCTATTGGTGGCTACTGGCCATGATGGCTGTGTTCTACCTCCAGTTTCAGAGACAGAATGTGTGCTGATGCACCCCGGTGATTCCCAGCAACTTGCCATCATGGCTAGTAGCCACCGATAGCATTTACCTCCATGCATTTGTATGATCTTAATGTAAAGCCATCCAAGTTGGGGGGCATCACTGCCTCCTGTGGGACCAAATTCCATAGCTTAATGATGCGCTGTGCGAAGAAGTACTTTATTTTGTCAGACTGAACACATTAAAAAATAAATATCTTCTTTTAAAGCAGCAGGATTGTGCCGTCAGACACACAAAGTGTTAAAAATGTTGTGCTTTGTATTTGTAATTTAATAATGATACCAAATCACTTCTTTATGAATTTTTAGAATCAATTTTCCTTTTCGCTGTCCTTTTAGGAGCTTTTATGGGTTCAGCTCGCTCTATATTGTTAAATGCATCAGCACCTGGGCTCATTTAACAAAGAATTCCAATGCACATCGCTATGAATTGAACAGCAGACATCTCAAAAAGGCACTGCAATTGTTAGAAGCAATATTTTTAGAAACTCGAACAAGGAAATAAACAACTTCAGTAAAAGTGATTTAAATAACAAATAACTTCTCTTATAAACAGCTTAGCTCCTTGAGAACAATGAATAAACAAGGAGACAAGAGTCTTTCTCTCCTCCCCTCCTTTGCATTATTAACTCTCATCACGATATGAATGGGTGAAATGTCAGGAATAATTGGAGAAAATCACAGCGTACTCTTTGGCAAAAACATCTGATTTATTTAAATTGTCACTACTCATTCTTAATAAATCCTCTCTTTAACCTTTTGATCTGCAATCCAGCAGGCTAAAAACTGTGCATTTGTGTGCGATGAACATCTTCCGTCTTCTCACACAGTATCAACAAAACTGCATATTGTATGTTGAACGAAGAGCAAACACTGCATCCTGTACTTTCTTTCTCAGGGGTTGAAACGACCCTGGGGCATGGCTCCAATCACAGAATCTGGGAATTCACACGAAACAAGTTTGTGCTAAATATAGCTCTGAAGATTCTTTCAGTAAAGAGCATGTTGAATATATGAGTGCCGTCTTGTCTGCATTTCCTTTAATTTACAGTCTCGGTAGTGCAGGTACCTCTTTTCAGTTGCAAACAACAGGGTTTTAATTGTGCATCTGTGAGACTGATATAAACATGCCCAATCCAGGTGTCTGATCCTAGCACCATGCAAAAAAGAAAAAGAAATAAAGGGAAATATTGCTAAGGGAACAATCATATTTCAAACATGGGTCAAATTTGTTCTTGATGGCATGGTATGAAGTGTACAACTGGGCCAGTGAATAACTGGAGGACATATATGTTTAAGTATTGCTACTTATTTTCCTCTGTGTTTCTGAACATGAGAACCAAGAGCTATGGGCCATGTGATCCTGTCAAACAAACTAGTCCTCTATTTCCAAGTATTTCCTAGCCTGTTACTAGATCCTGAACAAAAGGCTGTTTGCTGAATGTCCAATAAAGGCCTATCAGTCTAGCCTTTACCTGAAAATATAACTGCGACCATCCCTAGCTATCTACGGAGTGGAGGGTAGAAGATATCTGGTTGACTTTATATATTATTGGCTGCCTCCAGACTGTCACTGTTTTGCTGGTGGAATACAGTTGCATACCAGTAATTAGGTTGTGCAATTAAAGTGGATTTGGCATTCTTACACAACAAATCCACTCTTCCTCCCCCCACCCCAGAGGCAGAACATCTGCCTTGCACACAGAAAGTCCCAGGTTCGATCCTCTTAGCACGTTTCTCCGTTGCGTCCTGAGTTCGAGTGTCTTCAAAGCCCATGACACCTTTGGTAAAGGCTGTTTTCCAACTGGAGCGTTCGCAGGCCAGTGTTTCCCAGTTGTCAGTGTTTATACTACATTTTTAAAGATTTGCCTTAAGACAGTCTTTCAACCTCTTTTGTTGACCACCAGCATTTCGCTTTCCATTTTAAAGTTCGGAATAGAGTAGTTGCTTTGGAAGACGATCATCAGGCATCCGCACAACATGACCAGTCCAACGAAGTTGATGTTGAAGAATCATTGCTTCAACACTGGTAACCTTTGCTTCTTCTAGTACACTGATATTAGTTTGCCTGTCTTCCCAAGTGATGTGTAAAATTTTTCGGAGACACCGTTGATGGAATCTTTCAAGGAGTTTGAGATGGCGTTTATAAGTGATCCATGTTTCACAAGCATATAGTAAGGTTGGTAGTACAATAGCTTTGTAAACAAGCATTTTGGTTTCCCTGCGAATGTCCCAGTCCTCAAACACTCTGCACTTCAATCAGGAGAAAGCTGCACTTGCAGAGCTCAGGCGATGCTGGATTTTGGCATCAGTGTTGGCCCTTGTGGAAAGATAACTGCCTAGGTAGGAGAAGTGATCAACATTTTCCAATGTTACACCATTGAGTTGGATTTGTGGCTCTGCACAATTTGTTTTTATAGGCTCCCTATGTCAATCATGCTCCTCCCAGTGGGCCACATAAATTAAGGCAGCACCACAGACAAAAAAAACCCAAACCCTGCCAAATGCTTCTTCTTCAATGAAGTTTTTCACTGCCTTGATATTTGAGCTTCAGGGTATAACTGGTTAACCCTATAATCCACAATGAACAAACAAGGAAGATATATAACAGACAGGAAAAAAATAAGCATGCCCGTGTAATAAACATTAGTCCATACAAATATTCACCTTAAGCAAAGCAAAGTAAAATACAGTGGTACCTCGGGTTACATACCCTTCAGGTTACATACCCTTCAGGTTACAGACTCCGCTAACCCAGAAATAGTACCTTGGGTTAAGAACTTTGCTTCAGGATGAGAACAGAAATTGTGCTCCGGTGGTGCGGCAGCAGCAGCAGCAGCAGCAGCAGCAGGCCCCATTAGCTAAAGTGGTGCTTCAGGTTAAGAACAGTTTCAGGTTAAGAACAGACCTCCAGAATGAATTAAGTACTTAACCCGAGGTACCACTGTTTTTGCTAGGTTTTCATATTAACCTATAATACCTCCAATCAAAGAGACAGGTAAAAATATACATCTCCTTACAAGATATGCCAGTCCATACAAGTAAGGCATACATTCTCATACAAGTAAAAGACACAGCGGTCCATACAGTTGTTGCCCTGCTTTGCCCATAGGAGCCAACTCCTAAGGGCCAAGGTCCCTTCAGCCTCCCCTAAAATATTTGAGGGGACCAGGCCTCTCCAAAGTTGATGGGCATTGTAATTCAAAGGGCATGCAGGCACCATGTCATGTGATACCTGCTCCTCCTATTTTATTCAAGTTGGCACACTTGGGGTGGCCAAGAGGAGTTTCTGAGGCACATAGAGGCCTGGAGAGCTGCATCTGGGCCTGGATCTGAGGTTCCTTATCCCTAGTATCAAGTTTAATTTTTTTTAATGGAGTATCATTGAAGCCATTGTTTCTGTATGAATCTATCTTGTTTTTCCTGACTTCTATTTAGCAATTTCAAGCATAATTTATGTATTCAAAGTGTGTACTTGAGAACTGAGGGTTCAGGAAAGTGTCTTTTTAGTTTCCTAAGTATTGCATAATTGAGTGACGTTTTTCTGAATCAGTGTTTCTCAAAATTCTGATGAAATATTTTCAAGTAAATGTTCCTTTCTTAAAAGCTGCAATATGTGTTTAAACTCTGAGAGGAGTGTGACTGAGCTGTTTTCTTGTAAAGCCGTGATCAAGGGCCATTTTGCACAACAAGTTTTAATACAGTACAATCAACATAACTTTTTCCAGTGATTTTGGTGGAATGAATTGATCTTACAAATATGCCATGGGTGATATCCAATGTTGTTCAAGCAAACATACCCTTCCTCATTTCTCTCTGCGGCTCCTCATGCCCCCAGATCTACTCTGGTTGGTTCCCCAACCCTTAGGAGCTTTGGGACGCATGGTGAGCTACAGGAGGGGGCGAGTAGAGTTAAGGGGAATCTTGTCACACAAGTAGTAGCTCATTCCACTGGCAGATGGGCATTGGATTTCATCCCGTGTTTATAACTCAAAATACTATCTCTTACTATAAAAAAACTCTAACCATAGGAGTGGTGCTGTGCAGCATGGTTACATGCTGGCTGAACCACTCACAAGATGAATGGCCTAATTCTCTGTAGGTTTACTCAAATGTAGTCCCACTGACTTTCAAGGAAGAGTGCACAGTACTCCAGCAGTCCCAGAGCTTATTCACACAACTGTATGGATCTGTTGGTTTCAGCCCATACATAGCTGCTCTTTCAGATATTTTTTCTCATTGCTCTAAGGTTCCTGATACTAGTACTGATGAGATGACAGTCAGAGGACTGTGTGGCTGCATATGGTTGACATTTACCTACATATTAGCTTAGTAATACAGAATGATATCTCATATTGGCAACCCTCATATCTTCTGGTATTAAATATTGTACTCATTTATTAATAATATTAATTGATTAAATTAGTAATTGAATAGTTGTTAATAATCATTGTGACTTATGGGTGTTAATTAGGTAATGTAAGCAGCAGAGATAAGGTTGAATGCTAAAAGATATGGGTGTCACTATTATGAGTTTATTCTTTGTTACTCATTTAACAGGAATGCTTTTAATGGAAAGTGCTGGTCATGGGTATTTTGCTGCCTGAAGCCAAGGACAAATTAGCACCTTCCCAGCCTATATACAGAAGGCAACCAGACTGGTAGTTTAATATTGGTAACAGGAGCACACACTACTCCAAAACTGAGGGTACAAGGCTAGCCTTGGGGGTGCCGAATAGACCGCATGACACATCCAACTCTGTACCTACTGCTTTGCCTTGTCGCCAGCATCGGTCGTCTGAGGTCTCTGCCTCACTTTGCCTCATGACAGGGCTGACCCCCATCACAAAGCATGTGCTGTGAAACTGTCCTGCTCTTTTCAGAGACAGATCTAGCACTAAGCATGTACTTTCTTATCTCTGTCGTGTCTGGAAGGCCGGGTGCTGGAAGGGGAATGCGGGCTTCCTATCCTGCAGACATCTACCATCCACCCTCCCGGAATCAATGGGCGTGCCTCACTCTGCAGACAATCGCCGCTTTTACTCTCTGCAGCATTTTCATACACCACCAGGCTGGCTCCACTTAAAAGCACAGCTACACCGGTTGGTTGAAGAGTCAGCAATCTCACGCAAACCTTTCCGCTTCCCCTCGCCCCACGAACGACGCTCAAATATGTACACATAGAGACACGGCTCGTTTATTGCCATTTTCCAAAGCGCACTAGGGAAAATACGCTGAGGATTCTTATGATTCGGAGCCTGCGCCCCTTTATTTCCCCAGCTGTGTGGGGTATTGACCAGAATCACTCCAGCTTTTTTAGCCACGCCCCTTTCGAATCCAGGAAGGCCCCCAAAGAAAATTCTCCAAGCTCCGCTAATTGCGCTTTGCCCCTTCTAGAACGGATCGCCGTGACATTGCGGGAGTTGTAGTTCCCGCGGCCGCCGCTGCGCATCGCCTCAAAGCGGCCTCCCGCCGATAGGAAGACTACAAGCCCCGTGGTGCTTTGCGCGCGTAGCAGGGCTCGCTCCCTCCGGGTGCGGTCGGCGGCTGGGCCGGAGCGTGTCGCGGGGGCGTCACGTCGGCTGGTCACCCGTGAATAAGAAGGCGAGAGGTGGGGTTGGGGTGGGGCTGCTGCGCCGTGACGCCCGAGCGACCTCCCAGCCCGCCCGCCCTCGTCGGCGCTCCCCCTCTCCCCTCCCCGGTGCTTCCTCCGCGGTCCTTTGCCTCCCGGGTCCTCTTGCTGAGAGCGAGCGGGCGCGCGCGGGTGGGGGAAATGGCTGAGACCATCGCGGACACCAGGCGCCTGATCACGAAGCCGCAGAACCTCAACGACGCCTACGGGCCGCCGAGCAATTTCCTCGAGATCGACGTCTCCAACCCTCAGACGGTGGGGGTGGGCAGAGGCCGCTTCACCACCTACGACGTGAGGGTCAAGGTGAGGGATCCCAGCGAGGAGTGGACGGCGGGGGTGGGGTGGTCGGCGGATAGATGGGGAATTATGGGGGGCGGGCCCTGCTGGAGTCTCGAGCTTATCTGCTATGGGGAGCGAGGGTGGAGGTGCCCTGCCTGCGCAACTTCCAACAGTAAGGCCTCTTCACTCCTTCAAATACGTGCCTTGCCTGGCTGGCTGGCTGGGTGTAGCTTAGCCTTAGAAGTGCCTGAGCCAAACTGAAGGGCTTATTTTTATCCCCCACCCTCACACACTCTTTCTTTCCCATTCCCCCCACCCACACACAATGGAAGGTTAGGGGCATTTCCTCACTGGAGAGCTCACTGATTCCCTGGCACACCTTCAGAGAAGATGCTGCAGTTCCATATACATAACCAATATGTCCTTAGCACTCTGATCTGGCAAGCTGAGCTGAGGTTGACAGTGACATCCTGTGCAGTTGAAGGTGGGGGAGGGGTGTGTATGTGTGTGTGGGGGGAAGAGATATTTTAAGCTGTTCATTTTCTTAGTATCTTCTAGTGTTGATTCCTATACGAATGCCGTTAGCACCATATTCATACAGAATGCAAGGTCTGATGCAGAGCCTGCGCATGCCAAGGTTCTTGAATGCACATGTAGATCCCAATTTGGCTTCCTTCAGATGCTTGTAATTGGAACTGTGTGTGTGTTTCAGTGTTCCTTATCTCTGCAGTCCAGAAATGCAGTGTGCTTCACTTTGGTGCTGTTCCATACTGGCCCCATGTCTCTCATCACACACCAGAGTTATGCTAAGTAGTCTGTGTAGCTGGCTTCCCATACTCATTGTTTGTGTGGCCTCCATGATATGGCTGTACTTTGGTTATTCACAATACTCTTATGGGAACCTACTGATATGTGAGAAGGGCCTCCAGTGATACATCCTTCAAAAGCTTTAAATTGTGATGCTTCCCTACATAATGTTTAGCAACTGGTAGTAGTCACTGCCTCTGAACAATTATGGTAATTCTTTTGGTCCACTTTTCATATTACTGTATTTGTACTCTGCCTTTAACTCCAAAAGGAAGCCTACAGCAGCCTTATACGTTAAGGAAATACATTGTTCTCTGATTCTCACCCTCATGTGATAATAACATTCTCTGCATTCCTATAACTTAAAGGCTAACCAGGGAATTTATTTTCTGGTGGAATACCTCGAATTCATAGTGTTAACTGTGTCTACATGATAACAAAAAGATAATCTCAAGGCTGTGCAGTTGACAGTTAAGATAGTGCCATCTCATTCTTTGGGGAAGGCTTTAAGGTCCTCTATAACTGCAGTATAGTGGTACCTCAGGTTACAGACTCCGCTAACTCAGAAATAGTACCTCGGGTTAAGAACTTTGCTTCAGGATGAGAACAGAAATCAGACAGCGGGAGGCCCCATTAGCTGAAGTGGTACCTCAGGTTAAGAACAGTTTCAGGTTAAGAATGGACCTCCAGAACGAATTAAGTTCTTAACCTGAGGTACCACTGTAGTGGATCAGGGCCCGCCACTTGTCTCTTGTGGGTTTTAGACAACCTGGCAGGAGAAAATAAGGATTTATCTGTGTTTTCTCTTTTCCTCTCCCACTTTTCAGGTAATGGAAGAACTGTCATGCAAGGGTTGATAATTTTACGTTACATCTCCTTGAATGTACAGTTCTTGAATTTATTAAGAATGACACTTTGTCTAAAGGTGTTTTCCACCGTCATTTGTTTATCAATTTGTTCTTCCTTTTATGATAAATGTTGTAAAAGTAGGTTTGATCTGAAACAAGTAACAAATTTCTTGTCGCTTCTATTTACTCTGGACCAGGTTGTGCATTTCTAGCAAAGCTGAGGGTGATAATGCAAACTAGAGCCATTGGCCAATATGTTTATGGATTGCTGAAAGTAAGTAAGGTCTAGGGTAATAGATGGCCTAATGTTATCTTAACTGGTTGTGTACATAAGTGGGACAGGAGAAAGAATGTATGTGCTTAGGTTGTGTAGGTTAGATAGCTCAAAGAGAGGGAGCCATGGCACATTGCTTCACATTCCAAAGGTCCTGAATTCAATCCCTTCCATTGCCAGTTGAAAAAATCTTGATGTAGTAGGGCTGGGAAGACCTCTTCCTAAGATCTTGAGAGAGCTGCTGCTGCCAGTTAGTTTAGAGGGTACTAGATCATAGACCAGTACAGTAATTAGGAATAAGGTAGCTTAATGAATTGAGGAAGAACTTTTGCTTGAGGATGTGCCAGTGTGGGAAAGTTTTACCGAATACAGTCATGTCTTCCTTTTAATCCGTTAGATTGCTTCTTTGGCACTTGGTTGTCTGTGCAGTCCTGCATGTCACTTGAACTTGTATCCTGTTCCAGCTGAAAGGCTCAATGTTTTTAACTGATCCAGTTGATGAACTCTGCTTGCTGATGTAGTGTAGGCTCTTAGGTAGCAAGGTATAACCCATGCCTTCAGAAAATGCTGATGTATGACCTGTGGAGGAACTAGTTGGTGGATATTGCCTACTTTGGGTACTAACTGGCCTTCACACTAGTGAATTGTGCCTGGCAGTGCCAACCTCGGTGCACCTCTACAATATGCCCTTCTAGTACTACCCCATCACAAGACTTGTTGATGTTGTGTACCAGTTGCTAGAGCTGCCTTGAAAGCTGCGGAGTGCAGTATGAAGATTTTGAATGACCAAATTGTCAGATCAAAATATAAGACTGCACCCCCTTCAGCAGATGGTGATAGCAAAAAGAATTCCTTGCTGTTTGTTTATTAATTTATTTTCATTGCCATGCCATGACTACCGTGGGCGTAGCCCAGGGGGGCAGCAGCCCCCACATCAAGTAAAACAGTAGAAATACTTAACTAACTGACTAATCACGTTGGTTCTGCCCCCCTAACAAAAGTCCTGTTCCCCCCAACCAAGTCCTGCCCCTCCTAACAAAAATCCTGGTTACGTCCATGATGACAACTAAGAACACCCTGGCCCAATAGTGGTTCCTAAAACAGCAAAGTTTTGATTCGTGGGGACCATGAAATGCTTGGAGGACTACAGTTTGCCTTGCAAATGAATTGGTTTCACCTGGACTTAGTTTCAGTGACTTCCTTGCATTTAGCCTGCTTCATTGCATTTAACCAGAATTCATTACGTTTGTATCTTGCCTTTTCTCTTCAAGGTTAAGAGCCTGTTGTGAAGAGGGTTATCCCATTTCATTTTCACAGTCCTATAATGTGGGAGAAATGTGGTATCGCCCAAGGCAAACACTATTTCAGTGTTTCTCAACCACTGCCTTGAGCCATGTTCAGGTGTGCCTTCAGTACCTCAGCCAGCCCAGTACCTCACCTGCCTATCCTGTCTTCTAGTCAGGTCATTTCCTTATGGTTAGACCAGGGCCAACACCAGCAACTCCCTGCATGCTGAGCAAAAGTGGCCGAGAGACAGAAATTTGGGATGCGGGGGGGGGGGGGAGAAGGATCTCCTTATTCTGAGGGGAAAGGGCCCCGAGGAAGTGTTGAAGGAAATAGGAAATTAGAAACTGAGATAAAAGATTGTTGTTATTGTTATTATTATTACTATTACTATTTAAAAAACCCACCGGTTCACACACAACACACTAAACACTGGTGAAATGTTCTTAGATGCAGCTTCAAGGAAACTGGAAGTTTTCACTTCAGTTTTAGATTACTCCAGACTGGTTAATCTTAACTATAGCTTGCTGAAACAAGTCAACTTCCTAATCCATGAGTTAAAGGTGGTTTGCTCAAACAGATCATAGGTAAGAGTAACCACAGTTTGGGTCCAGATGATATGGCAAGATGCGTTTCATATAAAACAGAAGTGAAAGCTTCTGAACCTGTGATCATTGTTGGGGGTGGGGTGGTGAACATATATGTGAGGTTTGTCTAAGCCAGGCATGGCCAAACTTGGCCCTCCAGATGTTTTGGGACTACAATTCCCAAATTGTAGTCAAAATTCCCTGACCACTAGTCCTGTTAGCTAGGGATGATGGGAGTTGTAGTCCCAAAACATCTGGAGGGCCAAGTTTGGCCATGCCGGTCTAGGCTCATCTTGGCCTTCATCATCATGAATGTTGTGGACCACAACACCCATCATCCCTCAGTGCTGGCCATGCTGACCAGAGCTGATGGGAATTAGAGTTCAATAACATCTGGAGGGCACCATGTTGAAGAAAACTGCTGTAACTATGGCTTAGCATCACACGTGAAGCAGCCAGTGATTGATGATTCCTAACAAGCTTTGGTTGATGTGCCTGCCTGCTAAATCTACTCTCCCCAGCTCCTGAGCCACCAAACTAATGGGAAATGAGGTTGTTTTTTTTATCGCTTTTATGCTGTTGGTGCTGTTACTATGGGAAGATCTTTAAGTGTCTCAGAATCCCAAGGCTAAAACTAATTTGTAGACCACACTTGATTTGAGAGCTTGGAAGGTATCAACAATGTGAATTTGCACGTAACTTGAGTACATTGCTTTCACAAAAGACAAGGACAGATGCATTTCTAAGACTAAACTAAAAGTTACTATTGAGCCTTTCTAATGGAAGCTCCTTTTTTCTTGGCAAGCCTCAGATTAGATACTTAAAAACTATTATATATTGCATTTACCACTTAACCTATATTAACTTTTAATATAAAGCACGTAGATTTAATCTTTCATGTTCACATTTTTTTAGAAATAAATTGCTGCCTTAAACACTCCACCTAAGAAAAGCTTCATTGAATTGGCTTAATGCTCTAACTAAACACACATCCTGTTTGTACCCTTTTTGGCTTTCCATTATTAACGAATCCAGGCGCTGAAGAAATTGAAGGTGAGGAAGGCATAAAAGTCCACTTTAACAGCACTTTAGGATTTCTTCTTATCTGAAATGGACAAGAACTGTAACTGCAGATTAGTAGTGGGTGGGGTGAGCTTTCAGTTAGAGCGATTCTTTGCACACATCAGTAGCGTTGTTTTGTGGTACTGTGGCGAGTGCATGCTT